CTGATCAGTTTCAGCAGCAGCTGACTTGGGGAAGCTTGGGGTTCTTAAGTTGAATCTGTATGTAAGTCAGAACTGGCAGTCAGTTTCAGCAGCGGCTGAATCTGGACGCCTGTTCCGACTTACATACAGATTCAACTTAAGAACAAACCTACAGTCCCTATCTTGTACGTAACCCGGGGACTGCCTGTATGCTTTACACTAGTGCCTTGGATCCTCTAAAGAGAACTCTTATTACAACAAAAATGTTTTATATTCAGGGTACTATTTTGCATGTGTATTTGCCAGCAGAATGTTTCTAGGTTACAACTGCTTATTTTTTGTTTAGGTTTTTGTGTATTAAAAACTCTAGGGGTAAAATTCATCCATCAGTTAACAGGTACGGTGCAGCTGAACCACTTTAGTTCTGCTGCATGTGCATAACAGCTGTTGAGAGAATACATATAAAGTGTGTCTGTGTATAGCACGGTTGTCATACAGACCAGTATAAATAGAGAATATGGGAGTACATGAGCAGATTGCGCTAAACGGAACACTGTAGTCAGAGTATAATCCAGTTTTATCCCATACATAAGAATTAGATTAACCGGCACTAGAAACAAGAATTAAACATGAATCTTTCTCTGAGTTTTCTGCCCAAGTTTGATGTTTCAGTGTTTTCCTGCAAGTGCCATTAATTCCACTTTCTATCCCTCTGTGGTTAACAATCTCCACTCATCACTATGAAGCTATGGCTACACTGGTTTTTCCAGGATACTGGAGGTATCCGGGGAAAAACTCCGCCGCATCCAGGGAACGCATCTGCTTTTCCGCTTTTTTTGTGAAAGAGCAGACGCGCTCTTTCAGAAGCCCTGTCTTTCTCCTTCTATGAGGAAGAAGGGCTTTTCTGAAATTAGGCCCAGTATAGGCGGGCCAGATTTTGGAAAAGCTTCTTCTGAAAAAAAAAAACAATTGGAAAATTGCTTCGCAATTTGCATACCTTTTTCTGATAGATCAGTGTAATCTAGACTTAGCCTAAGTGAACAGAATTACTGAGCAATTTTGACGGGTCCAGTCGCTGGTAGATAGTGTGGATCAAAAGGAAAATCCCAATAGTCTTGTCACAGAGTGGAAAAGGGAGAGAAGAGAGCATACTGCCTGAGATTATACAGACTTATTGGTAATGTATCATCATGTGAAGGCAGGGCTATCCTTACCCATAGGCAAGATACACAGTTGTATAGGGCACCTGAAAATTTGGGACACCACTGGGTCTAATTGTCCATCCACCCACCTCTGTCATTGGGCATAGGGCCACCAGTTTAATAGTACTGCATAGGACCCTGTAAATCCCAAGGATGGTTCTGTGTGAAAGCTGTACAGAAATTACTTATTTGATTGGGAAAGCAGTTGTGGAGGGTTTACAGGCTGCCCTGCACTCTACCTACAGATTGGTAGATAATTTCTCATGTAGCTCCTCTGTACAGAGTCCATTTACTGAGCCTTTTTGCAAGAGGAGAAGAGGAATAAATTTTAACCAGAATGAATAACCCAATGATGTTCTCAGGGAATGAAAAGAGATAACATTAGGAACAAAATATATAGTTCTTGTTTCTTATCATTTGTTTTGGTTCATGAATTATAGATCATACAATTTCAATAAAAACTCATTGATTTTTTTAAATTTTATTTTAAGAAACATTGTGATCGACAGAAATCTAATCTACGTATTCGCTTCAGGCCTTCCCTTTTCCAACATGTTGGTCTGCATTCCTCCTTAGCAGGAAAGATCCAGAAACTCACGGTTAGTAGCTAAAACTTCCCTTCCCTTCCAGATAAGGGATTTTTCATCAGATGAGGAAAATTAAGTTTTTACTATAGTTTAACATTTTTTAATGTAATATATTATATACTCTTACTGGAAGTAAGCCTGATAAAACCTGGCTACCACAGAGTAGAATGCTTAATTCAACTCATTTTTTTATAAACTCCTTCATGTGTTCTCTCATTTTTGATCTCTAACCTTTTATCTGAAATACTATTACCTTTTAATTCATAAATACAAGGTCTGAAATATACAATGGAGAAAATGGATAATACATTAGTTGCCCTTTGTTTTCAATTTGTCTTTAAGTATTGTACTAGCAAAACTTAGCCACTTGGGAAAAGAGACTGCCCAGCCAGCTTAATAGCATGCTTGTCTTTCTTTCAATTAGGATAAAGACTTCCTGAAACCATTACTACATAAAATTCATGTGAACCCACCTGCAGAAGTTTCTACATCTTTAAAAGTCTACCAAGGACATACTCTTGAAAAAACGTATATGGGGGAGGATTTTTTCTGGGCTGTTACACCAATTGCTGGGGATTATATCCTATTTAAATTTGACAAACCAGTCAATATAGAAAGGTTAGTAATCACTTTGTCTTTTGGTCTCACAGCTAAAGACGCTTGCTGAATGAATATGCTTCAGGATAGAATTAAGGAACTATAACAAAAATGTAATTTTATATAAGGTATCAGTTTAAATGGATACTTTGAAGTTCAGTTAAAATTTGCTTCAGTCAACTTTGTTCTTTGTAATTGATTCTGTATTTTATTGAGTATATTCTGCTGTAAAACCTATTTCTGCAACCTTCTCTAGAAGTATAACATCTCTTACTCCTGCCAGTAGTTAAAAAGACTGCAAATGGAGTCTGTTCCAATCAGTTGAAGGTGACTTGTTTTCAAGCACAGTATTTTACTCCAACTTGATGTGTTTTTTGTATTTGTATCAGTGCTTGAATTTATGATTTAATATATTGATGCAGAGGAGTGCCCTTTTTTATTTTTTTTAAACTTTTTGGCCAGCTAAGGCAAGAAAATAATACTCTTTACAAAAAATTGTTAATGAAGTAATTTTATTTGTTACTACTGTCCTCTCTTTAGTTAAGTTGGCATCTCTTCTGTTTGCTTATTTTCTTTTCACCCAATCTTTCTTGTACACTCACTCAAGACCTATGAAAGAAAATTTGTATATGGGGTATCTTTATATTCCCCTTATATTCTCCTTTCATGCATGTTATGACTTTCTGATACCCAGTTTTACAGACTCACAGTTTTGCAGTGGTAGTAACTAGTACTGGAGTAATCTGACTAGATGCTTTCCTTGTGGAGGATATCATAGGCTGTCAAGCTGCTCTTCAAAGCTTTTCCAATTGGTTAGCTTCTTCCATGGGTTGGCAAACTTCGCTGAAGACTCAGCATCCCCTTAACAAATCTTAAAGATCTCAGATTCCTTTGAGTTTGATATTTTCCTCACATTGTAATTTTTGCTCTAATAGGTCTGACCTATGAAATGCAGGTAATTTGAGAGGTGAAAACATTAAAAATTACTCTTTTGTTGCTTAGAAAAGTATTTTCTTCAGGTGTACTTGTTAGCCATGAATGGAATGTACCTTACAGGGGTACATACATGACACTTTATCAAATCAAAGTCAATAACTTTTACCTGTGGCAATAATATGAAATGGGCAAATTTCAGCTAGTGCAGTGTTTCTCAAAGTGGTTCACGAAACCACTTTGAGAAACCTGTTAACTGACTGTGCCGGTTTGTTTATTTGCTGGGGCCAGAGAGCCTCGCGACTCCTATAGGCTCTGTTTTGTTGTTTGCAGCCAAGGGGAGCCGCAGGAAGTGGCAGCCTGGCCCACACTGCAGATCCCCTTAGCTGCAAAGGACGAAACGGAGCCAATGGGAGCCACAGCTATGACGCTCCCTGGCCACAGTGCCAGTGAATAAACAAACCGGCATGGCCAGTTAACAGGTTTTGCAACGTGGTTTCGCAGACCACTTTGAGAATCACTGAGCTAGTGTGTAGGAATTCAGTGGTAGGCTTTTAATCAACTTCAAAATGTGTTTCCAAGTTCCATGGACATGAACAATATTTTTTAAGCTTTTTTATCCATTTTTGAAAAAATGCACACTTTTGGAAGCTATGAATTTTGGGGAAGGGGATTGGAAGTAGTTGATCTTTATTTTGCTTAGATACTAGTTTTATTAGGATGTGTCATAGGCAACTGGGCGGTTTTGACAAATGCTCCAAACTTGCTAGAAAATGTCAAAAATAAACTTTGTGCTTCAAAAATGAACATGACTTAGACCAGGGCTACTCAACATGTGGCCCACGGTGCCTTGAGATGCTTCCCAGGCCACCTGCCTGCCTCATTGCAGTGGGTTCCAGTGGCAGTGCCTCCCTGCAAGCCAAGCCACACGGCACCACACTGAGACAGGCCGCATGTGCGAGAGCTGCCATCCGACGGGGGGATAGCAAGAGGTGGAGGCAGAGCACACCTGTCACAATGGCAGCACCTCCCCATGAGTGGAGCTGCACGGCGCAGCACTGAGCCAGGCCACGTCGGCGTGTGCACGGGAGCTGCTGGCTGGCGGGGGAGGGGCGGCAGAGCAGACCTGCCATGTCGGCTGCAGCAGCAGCGCCTCCCCACGAGCGGAGCTGTGCGGTGCTGCGCTGAGCCAGGCTGCGTTGGCGAATGCACAGGAGCTGCAGGGGGTGGCAAGAGGCAGTGGGAGAGCCAGGCAGTGAGGCACGTGGCAAGGCAGTGGCAGAGCTGGGCAGCAAGAGACGTGGCAAGGCGGCGGCAGAGTCAGGCAGTGAGGCTGGGATCTGAGAGGGCTGAGCTGGAGCTTGGGTAGGGTTACCATATGTCTGGTTTTTCCCAGACATGTCCTTGTTTTCACATGTGAAATCACCATCTGGATGGATTTTTTAAAGGGCAAAAAATGCCCAGGATTTTTTGCCCTGCAAAAGGGATCACGGAGGGGGCGGCGGCACATGCCTTCAATGGCCATGCCTTCAGAGCTACACATCCAGACCATTCACAACCGCTCTGTGCACGTGCCCCAGCACTTGGAGGGAAAAGCGCATGGTTCCAGTGAGACCCAGAGCATTACCCTGTGCTCCACTAGATTTATTTTCCTGTCTCTGTGGGAGGGAAAGGGCATTGAGTTAGAGCGGAGAGGCTGGGGGTGTCTGGTTCTGGGGGAGAGGAGGGACATTGGGTTGGAGCAGGTGGCTGGCGGGTACCTGGCTCTAGTGGAGGGGAAGAGCATTGGGTTGGAGCAGGGGGATTGGGGTGCGTGGCTTTGGGGTAGAGCAGGGGCACGGGGTTAGAGCACGGAACTTGGCATTAAAACTTCTGATTTTCCTTTCCTTTCCTGTAGGTATGCAGTGGGTCTGGTTAAATTTGGGGGTTCCATCTCAGATCTGAGAAGGACTGTGGGAGCTGGTACTTGGGGAGGCGGGCAGGGGAAAAGAAGGTATTCTGGGAAGCAGGATTCCTGGGTTCCTTTTTTAACCATGCCACTTCTCCCCTCGGTGCCTTTAACTTCACATTGATTGTACTTATATTTCAGTAAATATTCTATTGACAGTTTGTTTGATTTGTTAAAATTGTGAAGCCAAAACAAAAAAGTAGTCAATATAATAGTCTTTTCTTGATGGGACTCAGAGAAAATAAGGTCCTTGTAAAGAAGCTAAATTAAATTTTTGCACTAGTCTTCAGTTCAGAGGATATGGGGGAGATATGAATATCAGAGCTGTTCTTTTGGGCAACACATCCATCCCAAATTGGTCTCTGTCAGTAGAAAAGATTTTTAGAACAGATTGATTAAACTGAACAATAAGAAGTCAAAAAGCAATGGGCTTAAACTGCATCAAGGGAGATTTAGGTTGGACATCAGGAAAAACTTCCTAACTGTCAGGGTGGTTAAACACTGGAATAAGTTGCCTAGGGAGGTGGTGGAATCTCCATCTCTGGAGATATTTAAGAACAGATTAGATAGACATCCATCTGGGATGATCTAAATAGTACTGGGTCCTGTCATGAGGGCAGAGGACTAGACTCAATGACTTCTCAAGGTCCCTTTCAGTTCTAGTGATCTATGATTCTAAGTCACCAGGACCATATGATATTGACCTTAGAGTTCTGAAAAAACTGCGGTACTGATAACTACAGTATGTATCGCTGAAATCAACCTCTGTACCAGATAACAGAAAGATATTTAATGTAACATTAAAAAAAGGGGAGGGGGGCAGAAGGAGATCCTCACCAAAATTTCTTAAGCAAAATAAGCCGTCATGAGAAGAGGCAGGCTGTTCTCATGGATCAGTAACTGGTTAAAAATGTACAAATATGTGGGTCAGCTTTCACAATGTAGAAAGCAAGATTCCCTAAGGATTTGTACATGGTCCAGTGCAGTTGAGCATATTTATCAATGATCTGGAAATAAAAAAGGATGAACAGTACGACTACTGTCAATCATAATACGCTTATTCCAACACCTTGGCTTTCAATGAAATAAAGCCAAATCAACGCTGTCTCCTGCACAAAAGATCCAATTTATAGGAGCATGCCTTGACTCAACGAGGGCCACCGCATCCCTCCCTTCGGACCATTTTTCAACAAATTGTGGCTTTGGTAAACACCTTATGATCCAGCCCCCACAAAACAGCAATAGAATGTCTTCGGCTGTTGGAACACATGGCAGTGTGCAATTTTGTTATCAGCAATGCTTGCCTTCACATGAGATGTTTACAAGGATGGCTGGTGCAGGTTTATATGCCCAATATCCACCCATTATCCAAATCTCTAGTCCTCCCAATACTGGTAAAGAAACCCCTGCAGTGGTGGCTGAGTCTACACAACCTTTATTCCGGAGTCCCCTTCCATCCATCAGAACCATCCATCTCCATGATGACAGATGCATCTCTTACATGATGGGGTGCCCACCTACAGCATCAGACACCCCAGGGTCAGTGGTCCAGTAGTGACAAGAACCTACATACAAATGTCCTGGAACTCTGTGCAGTCAGAAATGCATGTGTGAAATTCCTTCCATTCATCGTCAACAGTCATGTCAGACTATATATAGACAATGTTGCAGCAATGTTTTATATAAATCGTTGGGGCGGGGCCCAATTTCGAGCACTTTGCAGAGAGGCCACAGCACTTTGGAACTGGTACCTGAAATACAACATAAATATTACTGCAGTGTACCTGTTGAACACCCTGAACACAACAGCAGGTGCATCAATCCACCAACACAACTGTAGGACCTGCATTTAGTACTGAACGCTTTAACTCACCTATCGAACCAATGGCCACCACCTCACTATTACACTTATCCATGAAAACCATTTTCTTCATAGCCATTACCTCGGTGAGACAAGTGGGAGAGATCGCAGCCCTAATGGCTGATCCTCCATACACCACGTTTTTAAAAGGCAAGGTCATTTGATGTACCTACCCCAAATTCCTCCCCAAAGTATGCTCATCCTTCCACCTCAATCAGACAATACATCTTCCTACCTTTTCCCCCAAACCGCCACTTCCTTCGAGATAAAGATGCACAC